GGGAATCTTTGTGATTAATAAGCTCTTGTACAGGATCCAAAAATGTCATCAATTTCTTATTTTTAGCTTTGATGTCTTTTAGTTCAGCTTCAATTCCACATTGATGGATATGATGTGAATCCTCCATTTTGATTATGACCTTATTCAAAAATTGATTTTCGGCTTGGCATTTTTCCAACTTAATGTCAGTTGTATTGCGCATTTCTTCTGTAACCCGTAAATCATGAAAAAACTTCTTACCCTGATCTTCATGTTTCTTGCAATTTTTTTCAGTCTAGTGACCCTTGTTATCCACTCTTCCAAGGTATTTCCTAAACTAACCTTTTGAAAGGCTTGACTGGTCCTTTGGAGATCCTCACGCATAGTCTCTATTTCTGCCCTCATTTTATCATTTTCAGTTTCCAAAATGACGTATTTGAGCCTCATTCTTCAGCGGATTTTCTTCCTTTTGGATGCCCACACTAATACTCTTACCTTTGAATACATTTGGTATTAACCTGTCAGGATAATCAATGACCATAATAGATTGATCTTGAGTTTCTAAAGTTGGGAAATGACTTTTAGACGATGATGTGTTCTGAATACAAGGTTATTTTTTCATCTCTAGGAACTTTTACAATTATTTCCTTAGGGTCTCCTGACGAATTGTTGGTATGGATGGTGACTGTGAAAAATTTCTTACATTGGTTAAAATCAGAAGTCCCTTGTATATCTGAGATTGCAGAATTAGGTTCATTGAGCTCTTTCTCCCTTTGTGCAGGAGTCTCTTTTTCACTGGTCAAAACAGATATTCTATCCATCATCTTGAACATTTGCTTTTTTATCTCTCCTACCTCCTTTTGCTCTTCAACGGACATATGATCTTTGGGCACATAGCTCTCTTCTATCCTCGGAGTTCCCTCATGATGCCCTTCCTTGGTTGTGTTATAGTTTACTTGATCATGAAACCCTTTGTCCATGATGAAAATTTTTGATTTGATGACCACTCTGGAATCAGCACCTTTGATTATGCCATGATTATGCAATGCAAGCAAAAGAAATTAATATTAACAAATTAAAGCCACAATAAAATGTATATACATAATAGATAAAAACAAAAATTCTATATATACATCATATCCCCATGCTTTCTAGTTCTATGCTTTGTTTTGGAAAAATAACCTAACTGCATGATTTCTAGTTCGCATGCATTTATTCAAAAAATAAAGCAATAATGCATAATTTAAAAGACTCAACAAGCTTTTTCCTTGTGTGCTATCCTTACAAGACTTGACTTAATTGAATTAGGTTCTGACTAGACTCAAGTTCTAGGTTTACTATATGTTGGGTTTTGGCTCTAGGGTAAAAAGGGTCAATGAATTGTCCTTTGTTGGTGTCCCCTTGGACTGTCAAGCCCTCAATCTTGGTCCATTATAGACTTTCGGATTAAGTTCAATTCAAAGGAAAACACTTCCTTATGTCCATACAGAGGTGAAAACCACACGAGGAACATAAGGTGTGAGCTCAAAGAATGGTCCCCTGTCCCATACGGAGGTGAAAACCAAACGAGGGAGTAGTTTCTCATTCACTTAAATAGGGTAAGAGCGGGGTTTTAGCTCATGTCATGAATGCAGTGCTCAGTATGTGAGGAAAAGCATAAAAAGAAATAAATTAATATATATAACATATTATTCTATTCTAATGTCCCAAAATTAAATATGTACACATATAAAAACAAAAGGTTAGTAAAATAATAAAAATAATTAAAACAAATTGATTATTTACTGCAAAGACGAATAATTACTAAATTGGTGGCCGAACTCTCTTTTTTTTTAGAAATTCCCCAGCAGAGTCACCAAACTATCGAGACGTTTCTCTGCCCGGTGACGGAGAGTGCAAATAGTACAACCCAAACGGTGTAACTAGTCTCGAAAAAGTAGGTGTTTATCCTTCATGAATCAGATAAAATACCAAATTGTAGAGTCGCCACCAATCTTTTAATTCGGTGAGATTGATCACCAAAATATCATATTATTCTAATAATATTCCTAAGAATAATATTAAAATAATACAACTCGGGTCTGCTTACCAGAAAAATGAGTTCGGGAGTCAGTTATGTATGGTGAAGGATTAGCACCCCATAACACCCAAAATTGGTACCGGTATTTATTAATTAATGTCTTTGCAATAAATTATAAATTTATATTTAATTATAATTGTATGAATAACTTAAAGTAAATAACAACTTAGTAATATTTAATATAAATATTAATAATTCTATTGTAATATTAAATATTAGAACTATATACATTAACTTATAAAATTATCCTAACATAAAATATGAATATTAATATTATAATTAATCTTATAATAATAATTGACTAAAATATAAAATATTAAAATACTAGGTTATTAATACAAAGATTAAATATTTTAAGTATTGAAATATAAATATTAAATAATATTATTAAATATTAAAATTAAAGGAATTAGATAAAAAAAAAAACCAAATTAATAATCCTAATTTAACATTTATTATGATTTGGGATCGAAATATAAATTAATAAAATTTTAGGTACTAAATATACAATTTTACCTAGAATACATAAATATACGAGTAATGTCCAAAATAAAATAAAATAAAATATGAATGCCAAATTGAAATACGTAAAAACCTTATAGAGTGACCAAATTGAAAATCTTACAATATTGCAAGAACCGCGGGTATGGCTTACTCTTGTTAAGATTACACTGAAGCCCCCTCCCCAAAACGACATAGTTTTGGGGAGGGTATAAATGCACCCTAACCGACCCTTTAAGGCCATTTTCTCCCATTTCCTCTCTTTTGTTTCTCTCTCTTAGAGAGAGAAGCTCCAACTTTTACTCCCTTTTCTCTCATTTTCTCCCTTGATCGACAACCGTAAACCGTCGTACTCCGGCGCCGATAACCTCCTGTCGACCACCATTCATGGTGGTCGAAAATACAAAATCAACACCAAATGTAGCTCTCTTTTTCCTCTACCCGAAACCTCCCTTATTTCTTCCTAAAAACCTCTCAAATGGCTTAGATATGAACTTTTACCTTTGAAATCCGGCAGTTTTCGATGACGTTCGAGCTTCGTCTACGAGCAAGGTAAGTCCTTTCTTCTTCCTCTTTGATGTTTGTTGGTTGTTGTCTTATCGTTGTTGTTTTCGTCTTTCGTTGTTTGCTCTTTTTCTCTTCGTCGTTCTTGTTGTGTGGTTTTCGTTGCTTGCTCTTCTTGTTGTTGGTTCTTTGTAGGTGATGGTCATCTTTTATAGGCTTCAGAATTCAGCTGCAATGATAACTTTTCAGTGAGTCACCGAATCTACAGTGGTGACTCACCCAAGAGATGATGCGTTGTGCGACCCTTGTTACTCTTCTGGAGTGTTCTACTGGATTCGGGTGAGATTTGATGGTGACAGCGACGGTGGTGAGGTGTCCTTGGAGGCGGCAACTACTAGGGTGAAAACCCTAATTGATGGAGGATTTGGACCCTCCATTTCCATCCTGATTGAATGGTGGTAAGTAGCTGGCGGCGATGGAGAGGATTACCAGAAACCCTAGACGTGTTTGGGTCATCTGGGCTTCTCGGGTTGGACTGGTTCCGGGTTGGGTCAGCATCTGTAAACGGGCTCCGGGTTATATTTGTAATATTGGGCCCCGATTTATTGTACTGGGCTTTGTAAATGGGCCTCCATATCATTGTATTATTTATAATAATAATAATAATAATAATAATATACTGATAATATTATAATATAATATATATAATAATATAATAATTATTATAAAAACTCGAACGAAAATGACTGTCGACAAATGGTATATATGTTGCTGCTATATTATCTATTCTACTCTCAGCTATGAGTCGTGAAGATATCCTAGTTTGAGGGATGAACCGACAAGAGAATATTTTGTCAGAAGTGCATATCGAATGCATATCAGGGACTTCTATCAAGATGCCCGCTCAGGTACACTGTTCAGACACTTATGGAATTTAAGTTGTCCTTCAAAAATCAAAATCACGATTTGGAAGTTTTCCCTGAACTATCTTCCTACAATGCATAACCTATTCATCAAACGTATAGCAACAAACAATTTATGTTCGAGATGCAGGATTCATTTGGAAGATATAAATCATGTAAGCAAACAATATATTTCTGCTTTGCATGTTTGGAATGCACTCAATACTCATTGGCCAATACACATCCATCATTTGGATTTCTCTGGTCGGATCGAATGGCTCTTTCAAAATTACAACCATGAGAAGCATGTTGAATTGATTATTGTTATTTGGTCTTTGTGGTTTTCACGAAACAATTTATTGCATGAAGGAGTAAGGCAAGAGATCTTGACTATTGTTACCTTTATCTGTGGCTATCAAATTGAATTGCAAACACTTAACTCTTCATTAGCTCACCCTCATACAAGGTCAGAAGTGGTTTGGTCCCCTCCCTGCTCTCCTTTGGTAAAATTGAACTTCGATGCCGGCTTCTCATCCTGTGAACAAAGATCGTGGTCAGGCATAGTGATACGGGGTAGTTTTGATTTCATCTTACCGAGTAAATCTTTCAATCTCATTGGCTTTTGAAGCTGAAGCTATTGCCACTGTTCAAGGTTTGGAATTTACCATGGATTTGGGTTTTTTTAATCTTATTGTTGAAGGAGATTCCAGAACCATTATCAAGAACTAAGCTTTGCCTCCGATTATGCATCCTTCGTTTTTCCCTTTATTATTGATGCGAAACGACTGGCCTGCAACTTTCGTGTCTGTCACTTTGTCTTTGTCGGTCGAAATGGTAACCGTGTTGCTCATCAGCCCCGTTTCTAAAATTTTAGTGACTCTCGACAAACATAAAAATTAGGCCCTAACTAAAAATTTAAATTACAATTTATAAATGTATCTTCTATGACGTTATGTTTATCGTATTGTGAACATAACATATTTTATTGTAGTTACTGCAAATATCATAATTATGAATTTTTAATAACATATTCTGTTGTGAACATAAAATTATTAATATTGTAGTTTTGGACGATTTCATCACTGTAGATACTTTTTTTTTGGATCTAAAAAATAATATTATTATTATTTATTTACATTTTTGTAGGCCACTTGAAGTCCACCATTACAAGCCAATCCAACAGCTCACCAGGAACCCAGACTTCAGACCCGAACCGACCCAGTATCAGGCCCAGTAGCCGACCCGAAGCCACTACCAACCCAACGGATGCCCATGCCCTGCTCCACAGAAAACACCACGCCTCACCCATGCCCTGTGCAACCATGCTTCTCAGCAGCTTCAGTCACCAAACACATCAACAGCAACATCAGCATTTTCTTATTTTTACATATGTAATGGGTTATACAAGAAACCCCAAGATCAGTGTAAAGGGGGGGGGGGGGGCTCCGATTCGAAAAAAAAAGAGTGTAAGAAAGGACCCCCCGTTTTTTCTCTCCTCTCTTAGCAAAGAAGAGAATCTGTTGTTACAGCAATAAGAAGCAATAGAAACTCAAATCCTTCAAAGGTTCCCCTTTTCCTTTTTTTAGCAGCAAAACGTAAAATTAAAGAGAGTTCAGGCGTCTACCTTAGCCACCGAAGCCCTCGTCTCCGGGTAAGTTGTCGCCGGAAAGGGGGGTGTTAGGAACCTTTGGCCGTTTAGGTTCATGACCTTGGTTTCGGTCTTGGATCTAGAGTAAGGAAAGGAGGTTGGTAGGATTGTAAGGGTCTTCGTTTAGGCTCGTTTGGTGATATTTGGGGCAAGATAGGCCACCGTTTCGCGGTGGCCGATGAGCGGCTTTATGGTCTTTGGGGAAGCTCTCGGCCAAGAGTGAAGGGGAGAGAAAAAATGGTATTAGCTTTGAGCGTTTTGGGGGCAGTTTAGCCTCCGTTTTGGCCTCCTCGGTCGCCGGTTGGAGCATGAGATGGCCACCCAACTGGTGGCCTGTGTTGGGGCTTGAAGTTTGGTGAGGAATACTGCCGATAGTGAGGAAGGTAGAGTTGAAAGAGAGTTTGGTTTTTGTTCTTGGTTTTTTTTTTTTGGCTAGTTTAAATCATATTAGATTTTAGTAGTTCTAGTTTTAATTCTCCCTAAGCCCCCTTCTTTTAGACGTCTTTCCTTGTTATGGCCTCTAAATTTTAGGACATTTTCCCTAATGTCTAGCCTTGTATTAACGATTTGGTCATTGGATTCGGGCTGATTTAATTTTATTTTGATTTGCTGGGTCTTCATGCACCATTTTCTCTTTTTATTTTAGTGTAAAATCCCTCTTAAGTCACTAAAACTCAGGCGCATTTTTATAAAGTTGTCACCATTGCATTCGTTTTACTTATTTCGATTTAGCACTCTATCTTACTTTTTTATTTAATTTTGGTCATTTACGTGTTTATTTTTATTACGAATTTATTGCCCATATTTATATTATCTCAATTTAGTCACCTGTTTACATTGATATTTATTTGAAATTAGTTACTGTTTCTTTAATTTGTTTCATTTTAGTCACTAATCAATGTTGTTTTCTTTATTTATTCATGAATTTGATGCTATATTTTTTAATTATGCATTTTAGTTACTGTTTATGCCTGATTTGGTATTGTTTTATTTATTGTATTTTTGTGCTCGTATTTTAAGATATGCGTATGTCTCATATTCTTTAGGTATTTTATGTGTATGCACCATATGTAAGTATTTATTTAAAATGGCCTTATATTTAATAGTAATTTTCAATATTTACTCTTGTATTTTCAAGTTTTTTTTTTTATTTTTGAGCTTAGTATTTTATATCTTTCGATTTTGGCTATAGTTAACTCATTGTATTTGTTAATATTTATAATTCATGCTTCAATTTTTTGGTTGACTTATATTTTGGTCCTTTGTTAGTTTTAGATATTTATTTATCTTCTTCAATTTGAACATATTTTTATTTCTTGTCAATTTAGTCCTAAGATAAAATTTTATTTGATTATTTTATTTATTTGATGTTCGATTGCGCATTTATATTTGTATTAGATCAAATCCAACTTTCTTTCTTTTAATTTTTGACTTGCTATTTTTATCATTGGTTTATTTAATATATTTTGATCTCTATATATTAACGTGCATATTATGTCTTTTTTTTAGAACTATTATTTTTGAAATAATTTACAAAATATTCATTTTATTTGCCAATATTTTTAATTTCTCTTACTCGAATATTTTCAAGAACAACAATTTATAGAATGGGCGTGGAAATCATTGCTTGATCGAAGTAGTATAATCTGATACGGCATTCAAACAAAATGAGAGCTTGAAATAAATCGAAGTTTTAGTACTATTTAATTCATTTTTATTTTTTATTTAAATAATACAATGTATGTTTCTCTAAATAGTATTTTATTTTATTTTATATAAAATGTCGATATGCAAGTTATATTCGATATGCATTTTTATATATTTGAAGATAGAATATTTTTTTACGACTGAGAAATAGTTGAGATAGTTTTTCCGACATAGGATTGCAAAATTCCAAGATTTCTTATCGAATAAAAAGATTTTATTTAAATAATTAATTCGAAGTAAGTTAAACAACTTAATAAATAAATCATATTTTAATCTTATATTCGATTTATAATTTCCATAATTATGATGATGTGTAAGCAACTAAGTATTAATTTTGGGCGTTGTGGAGGTGTTTACCCTTCCCTACGCGTAATCGACTCCTGTACCTATTAAATCGAATATTTGATAACACAGATCAATTTCTGTCTTAAAAATGTTTTTTCTTAAAATTATTTTAAAAGATGTTTTTAGGTATTCGGTTTACTTAATCCAAAGGTCGATGGCAATTCCAATTCAAATCAATTCATAAATCTCTAATTTTTTAAAATTAACGTCATAATTATTTTTTTAAATAATATTTAATTATTTTTTAAATGGTTATGACAATCACCAGTGCATAACAATTATTGTTGTGGTTACATACCGATATTTAAGTAATTGTTCATAATAATAAATGTTGAAAAAATAAATTTTAGGGGTAGCTTCATAATAACAAGTATTGAAAAAAATGAGTCCCTAACAAATATTAAAAAAAGTAAATTTTAAGAGTATACTCGTAATAACAAATATTTAAAAATTGAACCTCTAATAAAAAATATTGAAAATTTGAATTCATAACGATGAGTAAATATAAAAAAAAAATTGAATTTTAAAAGAATGTCCCTAATAATAAAAATTGAAAAATTAGACTCCTGATAATAAGTATTAAAAAAATAGACCTTTAATAACAAATGCGAGAAAAAAATATTGTCAAAAAATTGGACACTTATACAAATATTAGAAAAAAAATAAATTTTAAAAATAATCCCCTAATAATAAATATTAAAAAATAAGTTCATAATAATAAATATTAGGAAAAATTGAAACCATAATAACAAATATTGTTTTTGATAGAAAGTCCCTTGTTTTATTAAAAATAGAAAATAACCTGAATTACAATGAATATATAAATATAACGTAAACGTACACAAAAATTATAATTAGGATATTTTCCTATAACCATTAACACAAAAACTAGCCACCTAGATCACACAATGACCAAATAAGAAAAAGGTTAAAAAATCTAACCAAAAGCTTGAACAAAATAAAGATATAAATAAATCTGACTGTATCGGCAAACAAACCACAAAAGGGGATGAAGCTACTGAAGGCCACTGGAAAATTACAAATCAGAGTCAAGCGACGTGAAAAAACTATCAACGGATGCAAAATGTGTATCTAAACCAATTTGAGGGTCCAAAGCAGGAAAGATCATCATTATAACAAATAAGCGTCATTTTGATTAGCCGTGACGATGTCAAATTCAACTTTGAGAAAAAAGATAAACGAAAACAACAGGAAAAAAACCATAAGCTACCAAAAGACATAGAAAAACATGCTACCAAAAGATATAGAAAAACATACCACAAAAGCATAGATAAACATGTCATAAAGGTAGAGAATATGACACAAAGACATAATTATTCTTATTAAAAAACTAAAAAAAGAAAAGAAAAATGATAACCGACGGGTGGAACCATCATCAAAATTGATGTTGCCGCTGGTTAAATGAAATTAAATAAAAAAAATTGAATTAATTAATAAAATTGACACAAATAATAAAGAAAAAAAATAGACGAGAGAGGAGGAGGAGGAAAGCGACTAGTACTTTTTTAGTTTATTAGCCCTATAATGCTTTATAAAAATTCTTAGTCTTGGGTAGGTACCTCGCTTGCCCAGACCCAGATACGGCGTTGTTGCTCATGCAATGGCATCATGTGGTCAGAATCAAGTGGATGATCGATTTTAGGTTGAAGGCGTACCGTTATTAGTCTTGTTTGCTGTTGAAATATATTGTCGGTGTTTGAACCCGTCGTAGAAGTTTTGGGCATTTCTATAAAATGCTTTATGCCCTCTCCGTTTTTTGTTTCTTCGAGCTCCTCTCTACTACCTCTCCAATTTGAAACCAAATGGCTTTGGATCGTCTGAGTTTTTATTTGTCTTTTATTTCATTTTATTTATGTTTTCTGTTATTCCTTTTTCCCTCAAATTGTGACTTTGGTTCCTTGTAATATGTTGCTTCACTCTTTAAATAAAGGCTCGGATGGTGCCTTTTCAATATTATATATATAGTTGTACCGCCAATGACAACTTGAAAAATTTATCCGTAAGAACAATAGCAACAAGGTTAAAAATCATAATCTTATTCATCTACTTTTTCAATAGTTTTTACTGCACCTACATAATAAATTCAGAAAATTAAAAATAGAATTAAAAAATTTAATACTTCCCTTTTTTTTTGTGTAAAAATGGTATGATTAAAAGAACAGGGTCGGGGCTAGGACGTTAGAGATCTTGTAAAAATTCTTAAAAAGAGTCCCTTAAATTCTTAAAAAGAGACCCTTAGTAAAAATTGCAAATCTTGAATGTAATATATATAGAGAGATTGGTGATATTACTAACTCAAATCTTAACGATGTGGGATAGGGAGATCGTGAAGATGAGCTTCTTTATCGTAAAGTGGAGTTAGACCCCAAAAAAATAAGATTTTTATTGTAATAAATCTAATTTTTTTGGGGCTCGTGCCCCTGTTCGGTCGCATAAGTTGTGCTGCCTCTAGCCCCGACTCTATAAAAGAAAACCATACATAGAAAACATTACATATACCTCATTAAAACCTATCTAAATTTAATCAGAGGAAAAGAGTACACCATAACTCTTAAGGAAACTAAAATAAAATAACATTGCCAAGTCAAGAAGACAACTTGTCATCGTCTTTCCGCAATAACGTGAAGATCTCGGGTGAAGGAATCTCAACATAATGAACCCCAAAGTCATCATCGATAGCTAACCGAGTCAAATAATCAGCTACACAATTGCCTTTTCGGGAAACATGACTAAAACGAACAAATCTATTCCTTTACACAGATGTGGATATGAGCTAAAATCGACAGTGTACCGTGACCGATTCGATCATGTTAAAGAAGACGAAAAACTTCAAGGTTATCAACCTCCGCCTCCACTCGGCGGACACCCCTCTCCCGTGCACAAGACAAACCGACGAAAATTCCCCATAATTCTGCTTGGACACTGAACAAATCCGATAAATTTATAAAACCCCACCGTCCAATTGGTTAAAGGGTGAAATTGGTGAAATTAGAGGACAATGCTAAGCCAAACATGGTGAAATTGGTTGAAGAAGATTGATTAAAATGTTTTCTTTATTGGGGTCAAAGTGGTTGGTTAAAGGGTATTAACGTGGTTTATACAGTACTAATCCAACCGCTCAAATATGTCATGTCATATTTATATAACTACAATAATAACAGTTAATGGCTAAATAATTGGTTTATTACAAATTGATTATATTAATGATTATTTTTATATTTTAATTAGCTTTTTGAGACATGTAATTTTTTTTTTGCAAGAAAATTTGGATTTACTTGATAATTAGAAAAGTTTGAAGAAAAACATTAGATTCGAAATATGTACT